CAGCCCCATTTCTGCTGTCAATTTCCTATTTGTAGTCCCAGGCCAGTTTGTTCCTCCTCAGCTGGGTTTCCTCATTCTTAGTCTTCATTGACCCTTCCATGGCAAGTGGGGGGTGAACACCTCCTCATAATAACCCATCACAAAGACTTTACCTTTGACCTAAACTGTAAACACCAAAAATCGTCTCATATCTATTTTCAACATTACCACTAAACACTTTCTTGATGACAACATAACTAACTCTCTTTTTATTCCACCATATATAGCCAGAGGGCCAAAATCTGCACTGATTTACATGCTATGTAGTCCCAGTCAGAGCAGAATTTGACATAGACTGATTATTGCGTAATGTGATAATGCTACATCCCAGTGTGGATAATACTATGACTTCACATCACAAAAGGACCCATTTTTGAACCAGAGAAGACAAACATTTGATGGAGCAATTCTGGCCACTCCTCATTACACAGGTGGGGGAGAAATACCAATGAATTTGTTTGATAAGTGGCTAATGACAAAATCTGTAGGAAAAGAAATATTTTCAAATTGCTAACTTATCTTATATTATTACAGAGAACAAAGAGTTAATTTAACAGATATGTATAGCAAATGGCACATCTGTGCCACTCTAAACAGTGTGCAGATTCTCTACATTGTCCAACTTTTGATGGTTGACAGAGATGGGCAGAGCCTTGTACCAGAATATTGTTTTACCTTTTGTGAAAGAAGAGAGAAAAGCAGCAAAGCACCTTTCCTTGAAGGGTTTTTAAAGAAAATTCCATTTCTTTCACATTCATTTGGTACATAAAGACAAGGCCAGTATTGTTTCAAGCAGCTATTCTAAGCTTTGAAGTGACCCTCCATGTGGAATGTTTTCTACATCCAGTGGATAGAGACAATGGAAATTTAAATAATGAACAGGATGGGTTGTTTTTGTTTTGTTTTAAGCCCCATTTTAGTATACAGACTGTATTCTGGACTACAGGAAGAACTCTGTGTACATCTGTCCCTGATAAAACACAAAGCAGAAACACTTCAGAAGTGTCAGAGGAACAAAGATAATTAGCTGATTCACCTTCTTAAGTACAGAACATAAAGACAACATTCAGCATGTTGACTGGTTGAAGCTCCTCATTGAGCCCAGTAGTGCAATCCTTATTCAGGGTCCCATGCACCCCTTCAGGTCTTCACACAAAGAGGATTCTGTCTGACCATCATGCTGTCTCATCCCTGACTGCTGTCTCATCCCCTGCTGTCTCATCCCTCCCCTGTCTCCCAACCCTTTAGAAGACTGGAGACTCCAGAAGTTGCAGTATCACACAGTTGTAGGAAATGACAGGCCACCACAAACCCTTGGGGGATATCAACTTTCCCATCTACTGTATATCCCCTTTTGAGGGTTGTCCATACTGGAAAATATCATTCTGTTAGAATGCAACCAACAATAAGACACCTAAGACCCAGTTCTAATTTACACTAAGGCCCTGGCTTACAGGTCTGGATGTAAAGAGCTCTTAATGTGGATGTAAAATAGTGGGTGCAAATTACACTTCACTTGCTTTATATCATGTCATCTGGCCATGGTTAAACTATGATCAGATACAATGTTAAATAAACCAAGTGTTAAGTCATGTTTATCATCGTATTAGTCACAAGGACTCCCCAGTATCATGTTCCAATGCAGCATGACTTGTTAGTGTAGACAAGGCCTTGGTGGTGAGAGGGCAGGGTTCTGGGGTAAGCTATGTGTCAGGGAATCGCTACACAGTTCCTGCAGTTGCCATGCTGTTCAAGGAGAGGCAGGCAGAACAGAGGCAACATGTATTTGTGTGGACAGCTTCTGCGGGTCCTGAGAGAACCTGCAAGTTAATTGGATGGAACCCCTGGCTTCTTCTGAGGGAGAGGAGTGCCGAACTACAGATCCTAAGGAAGAATTCTAAAGAAATGCTGTGTTTCTTCTCCCTTCAACAGCAATGAGGCTCAGTTATACCTGTGCAACCCTAGTGACTTCAGTGAGGTTGGATGGGTGTAAATGAAAGCAGAATTTTTCCCTGGGAGTTTTGTTTGCATAGAACCTGCAGGATTTGTCCTTAAGTGAGTAAAAGTTGTTGTAATAGTTGGTGGAAGTGGGCAACTAGAGCAAAAATAGCATTCATGAACATTTGTTAGCTTTTTAAATATCTGTTTGGTTTGATCTTTCTCTTACTGAGCGGTGAGGTTGGACAAAAGAAAGGTGGTGATAGTCCTTTAAATTCCACCCATGTGAGATGCTACTCCCAGTAGATTGTGCATAGGATCATGCATGCTCTTGTGGGTCAATTCCCCAACAAGGAAGTCTGAATACACATATATATGGTATTGTCAGACCTAAATATTAAAAAAAATCATGAGTAAGGTCCCCAAAAACCTATGAGATTGGCTTAACATTCATGAGATTTAAAAAATAAAAACATAAATGTTGGGTTCTTTTCATTTATCTGCTGGTTTTTATGTTTTTAGGATGCACTCAGGTCAAATTTCCAAACTTTTCTCTGCTACTATCAGGACAAGAAACTTACTTTTTATAAAAAAATGAAAGCTGAGATTATCACATAATCACTTGTCTCCAGGAACTGGGGCTTCAAATAAAACATCTAATATTGTGAGACTCTCAATAACATTTAGAAGGTTGGTGAGGTTGTATGCTTTGAGCCATTGGCCACGCTCCAATATGACCTTCTCTTTGGAGTGTGGAAGTCACCATACAGCTCTGTCCTCCCATTAAATAATGATGTGTGGAACTCCACTATTCAAGCTTTCTGCTTCCTATGTTGGCACACACAAACACTGCCTTACGTGGTCACTACAGGACCAATTTTTACAGTAGAACCTACTCCACTTTGGGCATTCTGTGATAACACAGGATAGTTTAGGATTTGGCTCTAACAGAACAAAATCCAAACAAAGGTCCTCAGTCTTAGTTTATCTTCTTCTAACTCCTTTTGTCTGGGGAACAGCTGAGCCATAATTGTATTCATTTTCAGCCTTACACATAGTATCATAAGCTTTTTTGCTGCCTTGACAATGTAATTAGACAAAGAGATACAATGCTATAGTTCTGGTGCTTCTGAAAGTGGGAATGTCTTGATGCAAGACCACATATTCTTAGGGTTTCTGAAAGACATTTTAAGAAGAAAATTCTAACATTTTCTTGCCTTCCTTTTCATCTGGAGGAAGAAAAATTTTTTATTCTCGTTGTTGTCCTTAATGTCAAATCTGACTCTAAAAGTTTAGTTTTCTATGAGACTTCTGTGACAGTCTTTTCCTGGGCAGTCAGCTCTTTCTGTATATCACAAACCTTTTCTTATAACCCACTAAGCCCTGTTCCAAAATGTTCCCTTTCCCCCCCTTTTCTTTTGGAATTCAGGGTAATGAAGGCAATCTGAACTGAACTGAGTCTGTTGTAGACTTTGGAATGATGCCAGGGGCAGTGATGCAACTGAAACAGCTGGCAAAGTTGATTGTTTTAAAGCTTCAGCATTTGTTTTAGGCATTTTTGAGCATGATAATAAAAGGATTTCAGAGGATGTATTATTGGTCCAATTAGGAAGCTACCTTACAATGTATTATAAAAAAATAAATATCCTATGACTTTGATAGATGGTGTTATAGGGACAATGGTGTCTTCAAAAGAGTGGTCAAATTACTAAAGCACCAAATTTTGCTCCCATTTAGACCAGTCTAAATCTGTAGTAATTTAATTGACATCACTGGAGTTACTCTGTATTTTGTCTGGTATAATTGGAAGCCGAATTTGGCACTAAATGAAAAGGCCCAATAATGCAGACCCAGAGCCTAATTCTTTTTTATGTATACCAGTTTTACACCAGATTAATCCCTATGAATTTGCACCTGATATTAGTGAGAGAAGAATCAGACCCAAGCCTTTAGCAAAATAAAGGCAGAGGATCGGATTTGCCACTACGTCACTCCAGTTCTATGCCAGTGTAACTCTACTGTCATGAATGTAATTACAGCAGCATTAAATTGGCATAATGGTGGTGAATCTGGTCCAGATTCTCTTCCATTATCACACTATATACTGGAGCAACCACTATAAACCCGACAGAATTCTACAGTAATTACCCAAAGCATTCTGGGACAAATCTTGCCATTCTGTTCTGCTCCACTGTGAGTTTTGCCCAAATGAGGAAGGAGTAAGGAATGTATGATGGAACCTAAGACTATAGTAAGTTGTAGCATTTAAGATAATTGCCGAAGAATATTGTAATATATGTTTTTGTAAGGGTAACCATAGGAAACATTTCCACTTCTTATCAATGCTTTTTCAGTGGTGCAGTCCATCCTGTTTGCTCATGCACAGTCTTTCACTAGACATTTCCAAGAACATGAACACAAAATACTATTTCAGTTTATATTTCCTACTTAACGAAAGCATGATAGACTATGCATTTGAAAATTTGGTAGTTTACCCCTAGTGTAACACCCTTGATTCCTTATGCCAGAGATGAATTTGGCCCTGCGAATCAGCAAACCCTTAACCAACAGAATAAGTTACTGAATGTCTATTAATAGAGGCACAGCCTACTCAGTATCAGAAGTTAGAATGTGATCAGTTGTCAATGAACCTACCTCTGTTTTTACCTTTATTTAAGTCCCTTTTTCAGGCAAAATGTACAGAGGGAACATGCTTGAGCATTCCAGCGCTGCTGTTTTACTGTTATATTTCTATCATTGCATAGCCACCAGCTCTTTTTCTTTCTGTCTTTGACCCCAAATGATTCCCTCTTACTTTCGATTTTCCTTTATTCTCACATGGTAAAACAAGTGTTTGATTTAAAGTAGCTGAAGCAGCAATCATAGCATAATTTTTTTTCTTCTGACTGAGTAACCCTGTACTTGTACTCACATTTCTAAGTAAAAAAAAAACAAACCCAAAAAGCAAAAACACCCCCTCTATAGACAGCAAGATAACATAAAGGCAACATTTTTTCCCTCACCTGGGAGAAGGGCAGCATGTACTATTTTCTTGGCTTTGTCCTTCCTCATTGTTCATCTATTTAAGAGCTTTTTGGCTGTCGTCTTTCATGGGATGTGAGCTTGGCAGGATCCAAATGCCACATGCTACTATTTTTACCAGCAGAACTCCTTGGCTTCTGTATGGTTTTCTAGAGAAACCGCTGTTTGTGATCTCGGTTTGTAAAGCTCGGCTAGCTTTAAAGCAGGGGCCTGTTAGAATTGTTTGGAGAGTCTGTAATGAGGCAGGGCAGAGAATAGCAGTTGGCTACCTCACCCTTCCGGATGGCACATAGGATAGCTAGGAATACACGTGCCTGTTAAATGTCTCAAAGTATCATTCAGTGGGTAAAATTCTCTCTAACAGTAAACGAGTGCAAACATGCTTCAGATCTTAAAATGTACAGTTTCTTAATTCATTTACTTTCTCCACCAATGTTTTTTTCTTGCAACTCCTTCAAACATTGTTCACTGCTGCATACTGAATCCCCAAATCGGATTTTATAGAGTATGTACTTCTGTCTGATGCGTATGAGTGCTGGGCTGGTAGGTAGATGGGTCTGGTGGTGATTGTGGACACAGGTCTCCCTGCTGTACCACACCACAGCTGCTTGAGGTGAACTGAGTATCCCTCCACAGTGCTGCTGGAGTTGCCCAAATGAATTGTTTTGGATGATTTCTGTGTCCATATAGTTGATGACTCATTTTGGTTAGTTCAGGATTTCCAAGCCGCCATTGCAACCATGACTTCCTAGCTGGTTTATGGATTGGAGCATAAAGGTGGCTACATTCCAAATTTTGGGGCAAATTCTCAGCAGCTATAAACTGGCATGGCTCCATCAGCTTCAACAGAGGTATGCTAATGCACTCTAGTCCCTTGCTTTTTGGCTGAAATTGGACATACTGGGGTGGAGTGGAAATTACACCCTTGTTTTGGACTGACCACTGCCTTCAAGTCACATGCGGCTTCTGCTTTTGTAAATTGCCAAACTGCTCACAAGTAAGCCACAATCACGTGTCACTATAACCACAGGATTTCAGCTGCCTCCCTTGCTCCAGTTTGCTTTTAAGTCCAGTTTAGAGAGTAATTTGTTGAGCCCAGGGCTGGCCCACAACATTTTGGCACCTGAGGCGGGGAGCTCAAATGACACACCCCCATACCCCCTCGCTTGGGCCAAAACTTTGAAAGGTCTCAGTTCTTCCTTCTTCTTGTTCTACTCCTCTCATGGTACTGCTCTGCTACCTACCCCAATAAAGAACTTAAAATGCCTTGTTCAAAAATTTTAAGTAACACTTAACTTTCAAACGCCTGAACAGCAAATGTAACTTTTCTTGTCTGCATAGTAAACACTGACATTTTTATCTGTTTGATTATTCAAAGTGGTGCTTTCCGTGCCTTCTTGGCTGCAAAGATTTGAACTGCTTCCTGAAGGTCCACAATCTAGGCCAGCTCATGCTCTATTGAGATGGTTGCAAGGCTGACCAGCCTCTCCTGTGTCATTGTGGAGCATAGCTGTGTTTTTATTAACTTCAGCTTGGAGAAGATGCGTTCTCCACTGGCAACTGTTACAGGAAGTGTTAGAAGTATGCGCACAGCAACAAAAGCATTTGGAAAGAGGGTGGTCATCTTATTTGTGCACATATATTCCAGAACAGCCCTTGGAGTTGATCCTGATGAAATGCATCTTGAAAGGGCTTTCAGTTTATCACCTAAATCACTCGCATCAATATCGCTCATGTCATCATGTGTCAACACTGTCTAGTGCCCTGAATTGCTGGTATAGGTCTTCTTCAGGTATACTAAGGAGTTTTGGAATATAATACAACATCCCAAATATACTGCTGTGTTCCCTGAGCTGCATGAAACGTTCTTCAGCTGACTGTATTGCACAATCTAGCACCTGGTTAAAGATTTCAACTTTGAATTGTTGTTTGGGGTCTCTTACGGGATTATCCTGTGCCTCGTAATCAAAATATTTTCTTCTTCGGTGACTCTTGTATTCTTGAATGGGTGGGGAAATAACTTCAGTGTGAAGTTCTTCTGCCAACTTCTGTGCACTCTTCAGAGTGTTTTGAAATCCCTCATCTGACAGGTAAGACTGTAGGTATGACTTTGCTTTGTCCAGTTGTTCCATTGCTCCAGATATATCAAGGTTAACACCTTGGAGTCTCTTGCTTACAACATTTATTTCAAACAATATGTCATGCCACAACACTAAGCCACACAGAAATTTGAAGTTCTGTTTCTGGTGATCCCATTTCCCTCTGCCAATATTCTCCCACGAACGGTTCCTGTCATAGCATTATCCTCCATAATGGCAACTATGGTATCACCAATTCCTGGACACTACGGTGTAAATAAGCGATGATCACATAAACACCACCCTAAACCGGAAATCTACTGACCGCTATGCTTACCTACATGCCTCCAGCTTTCATCCAGACCACACCACACGATCCATTGTCTACAGCCAAGCTCTACCATACAATCGCATTTGCTCCAACCCCTCAGACAGAGGCAAACACCTACAAGATCTCTATCAAGTGTTCTTACAACTACAATATCCACCAGCTGAAGTGAAGAAACAGATTGACAGAGCCAGAAGAGTACCCAGAAGTTACCCACTACATGACAGGCCCAACAAAGAAAATAACAGAATGCCACTAGCCATCACCTTCAGCCCCCAACTAAAACCTCTCCAATGCATCATCAAGGATCTACAACTTATCTTGAAGGACGACCCATCACTCTCACAGATCTTGGGAGACAGGCCAGTCCTTGCTTACAGACAGCCCCCCAACCTGAAGCAAATACTCACCAGCAACCACACACCACACAACAAAAACACTAACCCAGGAACCTATCCTTGCAACAAAGCCCGTTGCCAGCTGTGTTCAGATATCTATTCAGGGGACACCATCACAGGGCCTAATCACATCAGCCACACTATCAGAGGCTCGTTCACCTGCACATCCACCAATGTGATATATGCCATCATGTGCCAGCAATGCCCCTCTGCCATGTACATTGGCCAAACTGGACAGTCTCTATGTAAAAGAATAAATGCACACAAATCAGACGTCAAGAATTATAACATTCAAAAACCAGTTGGAGAACACTTCAGTCTCTTTGGTCACTCGATTACAGACCTAAAAGCGGCAATTCTTCAACAAAAAAACTACGAAAACAGACTCCAACGAGAGACTGCTGAATTGGAATTAATTTGCAAACTGGATACAATTAACTTAGGCTTGAATAAAGACTGGGAGTGGATGTGTCATTACACAAAGTAAAACTATTTCCCCATGTTTATTTCTTCCCACTCCCTCCCTGCACTGTTCCTCGCACGTTCTTGTCAACTGCTGGAAATGGCCCACCTTGATTATCACTACAAAAGGTTCCCCCTCCCCCACTCTCCTGCTGGTAATAGCTCACCTTACCTGATCACTCTTGTTACAGTCTGTATGGTAACACCCATTGTTTCATTTTCTCTGTGTATATAAAATCTCCCCATGTATTTTCCACTACAAAATGCATCTGATGACGTGAGCTGTAGCTCACGAAAGCTTATGCTCAAATAAATTTGTTAGTCGCTAAGGTGCCACAAGTACTCCTTTTCTTTTTATGACATCATCTATCTTCGCAATTTGGTGTTTGATAGGCTTTATCGCCTCCACTTGACTTTCCCATTGTGTGGCACTCAGTGGTTTCAGTGTCAAAGAGGATATTCCCAGGTTTTGCTTCAAAATTTGCTATTGATGAGTTGATGCAGAGAAAAATACATAGATGCTTTGAATTACTTTAAATTCAGCAGCCTCACTAGAAGCTGATGCTGCATCACTGACCACCAAGTTCAATGAATGAGAACTGCATGGGACAAAAAAAGCTTGAGGGTTTAACTCTCGGATCCGTGTCTGCACTTCTCTGTTCTTTCCTCTCATGTTGGCAGCATTATCGTAGCCCTGACCCTCATGTCAACTATCGCAATTCCTGTATCTTCCAGCTTTTTAAGAAGTACATTTGTCATACCAGCTCCTGTAGTATCATCAATGTCAATAAATTCTAGAAAATGCTCTCTGACAATAATTGCAGGGACATTTTCACTAGGTTCTGTTGTTGTTACAAAATGCATCATTAAAGTCATTTGTTCCATATGGCTGATGTCAGGTGTGCAGTCCAGAATAACAGAGTAATATCTTGCTGACTTCAGATAAGTCAAACAGAAGATTGTGGCATTTGTTGCCAATAGCTGTATGATCTCATTTTGAATTGTTTTTCCAAAGTAGTGGTTTGTGTACATTTCTTGGGTGGTGACTTAGATGCTCCTGGAGTACAGCATCAAACTCAGCCATCAGCTCCACAATTTTAAGGAAGTTTCCATTGTTTGGCACATACAGCTGATCTGAAGTGCCATGTAGTGCTAGGTTTTGGGTAGCAAGTATTCTCACAATGGCAATGAGCCGTTTCAAAACATTTTCCCGGTAAAGAGATTCTGATGCAATCTTCTCTTGATGCTGATCATCTATGGTGGCTTTTAACCTTAGTCTCATCTCAAGCTCTTTCCACCTATTGAATGCTCTCTGGTGATTTGCTGCCTTCTCATGGCATGCCAGATTTCCATCCAGATTTTTCCAGTCCTTTGTTCCTGTAGAACCCAACGAGGCTGGAACATTAGACTGGAAGAGTTTGCAACAAAAACAGTTTGCAGCATTCTGGGTTTTTGAATACATAAGCCATGGCCTTTCCACTTTGTCACCATTGGGGATTTCACACCAGTAATGTGTTGGGTGGAAATTTCTATTTTCATTGTCTTTGGAGAACATGAAGTTTTTCACTTGCTATGGCCCATGCAGTACAAGGAAGTCCCTCAGGCAACTGCTCAAGTGGGACCACAGTCCTGGATCATCTAGACTTAAGGAACTAAACTCAGCAGCAGCTGTTTCTTGCACCTCCACCACACTCTTCTCTGATCTACACTTTTCTTTAGGAATGTGCATGGTTACATTGAGATGGAGATATGGATGCTGCAATAGCTGCCAGGTCACCTGCACTCTGACTAACTGGAAGATCAGGCATCTCCTTACCACTCACATCCTCACTGGGGCCGGAAGGCTCACCATGAACATTTGTGTCTATGTATCTCAGGAGAGCTCCTTCCTGCTTAGATGGAAAAGCTTCCTTTGCTTTCTTTCTTTTTCTGAACGCTGCCCCAGAGTGGCATTTTC